TTGTCCATTTCTTATTGCCATTTGTTATTTCTAAGCTGGTATTTTGGTTGTATATCCTATCGAACACGCATACATAGCTCCTTGTCCACTACACCTACGAGGAAAGCTAAATAGAATTTGAAATTTCAGATATACATTCCTTCCATGGTAGCGTGCAGCGGGATACTCCGCCCGCTAGAGTAATCGCGGTTCTTTCGGGATTTGGATTCGAAAGAAGGATAAATAAACCCACATTATGAAGCTCTCAGTCAGTTGCCTACTTCCCTTGACCACCACTACCTGACATACAGGTTAGTACGTTTGAAACGGGTAGCCCTGTGGGGTGTGCATACTGATTGGCATATTTTGTCTGGTAATTCACACCACTAAAATTATTGCTACACTTATGCGGAAAAATTTGCGCACAGGTGTGATCTATGCGTAGAAAACCTTTGCTCTGAGCCAACCCTTAGAGACACGTACTCAGAGTCACAGTCCTAGAAAAATTGTTCAAATCTACTCGAAGCCTACCTTGGGCGCCGAGTTAATTTTTTGCCGGTCGCCATAACTCCGAGTGCTCGGTCTCTTAATTCAGCGGAAAATTCCCTGGGGTTGCCGATTCTCCACGATCTTTCTCTTCACTACAAGTTCGACTTCACTGGTATAGTGACTCCATTATGGTTACGTTAAGCAACTCGGAACACAGCCTCAAGAGCAACAAGTCTCTTTCCAACAGGCTTCTCATCAGCCGCGACCTTTCTCACTATCAACAAAGAGTCCAGTTGTGTGCTGATGTGCAAGAGACCGTTGTCGGACGTGTGGCAACGTGTTGCAAACGAATATGGTGGGGTACTGACCGCCTAAATTGTCCACGACTAACACACCAAGTGATGACCCACAACATAAAGCGGGCAGATGTTGAGTTCTGTTGGATGAGACAGTCGCAGTTTTGCAGTTGACGAAATGACATCAAAAGTGCCGGCCTCCAAAGCTGTGTTTGGCTGTTACATATTATCTTGCTCATTTAATGCGTGGCAATCTAATGCGAAGCAAATACTTTCAGTAAAAATGTCGTCGATTTTCTGAGAGAACGTTTCCAACTACAAGCAACATGTCCCCACTGGCCATTTCGATAGAACAGCTGGGTAGATAACTGAATAATACATGATGACCGCAATGAGTTCACCATAACTTGGAAGTACTGCGACGGACCGATCTCCTTTTCCTCCCAAGTGTAAGTGCTCACCGCCTGTACATCACCCCGAAGGTGGATTTCCGTGCGCCGCATGGTGGCTTCCTTTGATAGAGACCAGCAGCCGTCCCGAGGGCGTAGAAGCGTTTCGAAGTGCCCCAATAGCCCCAAACATACGGTCCGGGTTCGTTGGCCTAGCATGTGGCTGATGGGAGGGTGTGAGGTGCACAACACCCACGGTTGAAACCAGCGAGGATTTCTGCGGGGAGACAGCCGAAATTTTAACGTGGCTTACCGCATCACATTGTACTCCGCCAACCAGGTTCTCAGTTCGGTTTATGTATTGTGCCTACAATAAACAAACTACCATGAAGTTGGCCACTAGGAGCAGGCTGTTATTACCAGTTGATTCCTGGCGGGAATCCCCGGGTTTTCTCATTGGGGTGCACGTCGTGTGTCCGTTATGTGGCAGGCCGGAGTGCGTTTGTTTTCAGTTTTTAATGGCTACAGTTCCCCGACAGTAATTCAAACTTCACATGTACACCGTGCAAGTTGGTTATCAATTTACGAAGAGTGGTGAGACGAATAGGATATACCACAACAAACCGCACAATTCTGAGGTGCTGAAGCCAAAGCCTGCGGAAGTGGTTTACGAGCCGCACGAACATGTAATCAGCAAACTGAATTTGTTGGGAAAATGTAGGCTTCTCTAGACACCTGGTTGGGTATATAGGGCAGATACTTGTTGGGAAAATGTAGGCTTCTCTAGACATCTGGCTGGGCATACAGGGCAAATATTACGCTACCATTTGACCACTGGTTCGTGCACTCGGTCACCAGTGTCAACAAACGAGATCCACAACAAGCTGATGGTGTACAAGATCAGAGTCTCTCGTCTCTGGCCTGCCTGCCGACCCTGATGATCGCTATTATCCGCGAGATCAACTGACGTTTCACGGCTATTTCTGTGATATCGAACCTCGTCCACTGGAAGAAGGTTTGCCGGCGCGCCCACAACATGAGTACGAACGCAGCATCAAACTTCATTCTCCAGCTGCCGGCTAGTCCCATAGACATTCCAAAGTTATCACGAGCAAGACAAAATGGGCATGCAAGAATGTGGATCCCAAATGCCCCATAGAAATTAAGCAGAGCATACCCTGAATGATCGCGGTTAAAAGATTCTGCTCGACCGTGCGGTGATAAAAATAGTGATAAGTTAAAATACGTGCAAACCACAGATTCCGCACTCCGATCACGTAAATCGAACACTTTTATATGATTTTTCAGCAATTAGATGTCTGGCAGGGCTTTGGAATATGGGTAGCTCGGTTGCGCTGATTGGTTGTTGGTCTGGTCGCGGAGCTTGGCAGTTGATGGCAAACGTTTCATCGTCAATCAAGGTGACGTCTTCAGTGCAGGGTTGAGTGTGTGAATTCCTCCACTTTTGCCTATGCTTACATAGCTCCTTAGAAGCACTCGGTAGCTCTGAAGGCGAGCTTCGCGTAGTTTGATCAATACCCTATGAATCTGGGTTGGTCTCAATCTCTTAGATTTGGTTAGTTTGTTGGGTGCAATCAATTTTACAGCTCTGCATGTGACTTTTTTGTTGTGATTTCGGACGTTTTTTCTTTCTTGGCGGGCCGGATTTGTTCCCTTAATTGGTTGATTCAGTGTTCTTCTGTTTTCCGTAGTTTTATTTCTTCGATCTCATTAGTTTGTTGGTTATCATTAGGTTTCTTGATTTTCATTGTGGCTAAGAGTCTTGTAACTGTGTATTTCTTTTGCTGGTAACGGCTGGTAGATTGGGTCAAGGTAGATGTGTTTATTGATGGACTCTTGTGTGGAGTACCACACCTCGACATTGTCTGAATTGAAATTGTGTTCTTCTCTCTCCTCGTGGATTGGGACAGGTGACATCAGGTTATGTTTCCTGTCAGCAAGCTGGTGCTTGTCTATTCTGGCATCAAGTTTTCTTTCACTTTGGTCAGCAATGTTTTGTCGCAGTCGTCGCAGTTAAGTTTATAGGCCAGGTTCCTCTTCTTCAGTGCATTTCACCTTCTCTTTGGTTTTGAGGGAGTTTTTCTCAACGTTTGCAAGTCTCAAGGCGACTGTAATTCCGTGTTGTTGTAATTGTCGTTTGGTCTGATGTGCATCAGCTCTGGTTGAGTTGATAAATCCGCTTGATAGCGGATATGATATGATGCTTTATGTGACACTCCTAGCGTAGCTGTTACTTCGGCATCCCTCGTAGAGCCTTTACTCTTCTCCTTTCTTCGCATCCGTTGTGGTGCAATGCCTCTATCGGTTTGAATAGGAGTCAAACACAGCTCCGTTTATGGCAGTTCGGATGGTTTCTGCAGCAGTTCAGAATCTGGTCTGTATGTGTTTGTTTCATGTGCGCTCCAGTTTGCAGTTGACCGTTTGTGACGAGCACATCTAGGAACGCCGCTTTGTTGTTCTCCTGCCTTTCCATTTTGATGTGGATGACGGATAACGCATGCCCTCAGCGAACTGACCAGATAAAGGAGTATGAAACCAACTCAGATTCATGGCGAACCAATCAATCTACGCGAAGACCTATTTCGAAGCTACCAGTTACTGTTTGGAGCTATATCAGCGCAGCTGGAATAAAGGGAATTCACCCATTCAACCCTGCATTTACGGTGTCGCCCCACTTGAAACGTTTGCCATCCAACTGCTCGGCGATCTGACCAACAACCAGTAAATGGATGTCACTCAGGCCCTTTTCAGAGCCGCGCCCAACCGCGCTGCTTCCCTGACGAGGTAGACGACCTTGCGCGCTGCCTTAGTTATAGCTTTGCTCGTGCTCATTAATATACGCGATCACTTCATTTCGGCTTATTTACATCAGTTTAAGCTCTGGTACTTAAATAGCAACAAGGGGTATTTAAAGTGCTTCATCGGTTAGCCTTCAAAGCTTGTGCTAAATAAGTACACGAGGTGAACGAAGATTTTTTTCATTTGGAAATCATCGGTACGCGCAACTTAAGCAAATAAAACAAGAAATGTTGTTATCACCCGTTGTATTTTATGGTGCACTAAACAAATAAAGAGAAAAACGCCAGGAGTAGCTTTCAAACTTTTGGACTGGGCAGGTCTGAGCGAACTAACATGTGGTTATGACAACGAAGGGCTGATGTTGGCCACAAAAATGGATTGTCACGCAAGGCTGTGCCCCTACACTCCACGGCGCACATAGGTAGAGGCACAGTGGTTGATATCGGTGGCCAACGTATGTGACGACGCGTGTGATTACGATGATGTATACCACTACTAGACACAATTTCTGGCAATTTTCTTGTCTGTTCCGATGAAATTTAAATTTCTTGATGTGACTCTTTCATTTAGACACCGCTGGACATCGAAATTTGCTACGTTGTGGAGTTTTCCCTCATTGTTGCTCGTTTAACAGCAGATGCTCGTTTCTCCGATACTTAAATCGGTTGAATAGAAATATATACTTTCTAATGAAGAATTTTGCTGTGTGTATGCTCACACTAGAAAACCACCATAGTCAATCATTGCTTTTTGGGATTTCTTTCACCTAATCCTCTATTCATCCTTATCATTCGGCGCGCGCTCTAGTTTTAAAGTTGCAGTACTACCGTTTTAAATAGGGCGTGGATAAGTTTTTTGATAAATTTTCCGCTGTCCGGTTTTTATCCTTCACGGCCTCTGAGAAAGCTCCAAAAATGAATACATAAGGGATACCCGTAGAATTTGTGCGTACAGTATGTAATCGGAGCACCACTGCAGCTTTGCGTTACAAGTGAGTACACTGCAAATGAGGGGGTGGCCAGCAAAACCAAAGGAAATTTGAGGGATCCGAGGAGACCATTAAGTTGGGCGCACCTGGTAATTATAAACAGGACGCCAGGCACCGACTCGCTAGCTCGTTTATTGTCTGTAGAGACAAACCACCTTGTAAAAATAATAATAATGTTTATTCCCAACTTGTGGGTGGCATGCCGTCTGGCATGATCAGGCGTTTACAGTCAGAATGGGGCATGACTGAGGGACCTGTGGGTAGTGGTGACTGAACGAAAAGGGGATAATGTCACAAACAGTGGGAGGTACTCGATTAAATAATAATACGTCTCTTTTGCAACTTGTAGGGAACAATAGGTACGAGGTCCGAGTAACTTAGTGACTCAGTTGGCTGACATGAACTAAAACTGGGAAACCGTTGCTGGCCATGAGTGACCTTGGGCGGTTGAGTAAATGGCCGGAGTCATAACAAGCAAAAGTGGAGGTGGAGATGGGATAATTCGAATTGGGAGAACACGGCAAGTTTAGTCTCATAAGTATGGTGCAATCTGAGAACAAGCAGAGTCACTGGTTGCCCTGTTGCTGGGACGTCAGATGAATGGGTTAGGTTGGAATGGGATACAGAGGTGGTTGAAGTTGAACGAGTAGTCCAATAGGTTGGAATGAATGTCATGGTGGTCGTTGGGGTCAATGAAACGAGTAGGCAAGAGGGCA